ACTATTTTAATGCTACATATAAACATTCTTAATCTAGATACAATATTTTTCTAGTTTATGTAATATTATTTAATTCATTACTGTAGTTTTATATATTGATACCACTTTTAGATACTTAGATACCACTTTAGATACTTACATGTTTACAATACAAAAACTTCTCTTTACACTTCTGACTTACGCATAAACAACATTTTTTTTGGACATAAATAACATTTGGTTTGATTAGAATTTTTTTATCGAACATGTCCGGGGTAACATATGTTTCCGTTCGTATCAATATCTGACGCACAGCACCAGAATTTTGAGAAATGAAACTGTGAACAGCTTAATAAAACGAATAAAATTGTTTCGGACGGCCGATTTGTAGAAATGATTCCATGTTGAAATTACTTTATGCGGATGATGTCGGGGACGGTAATGATTTCTCTGGTTCCACATTTTTATGAGAACACGCTCTGCTTATGAATTTCGATCTCGAAAATTACTTGGCAGATATTAAGCTGAATATTTTTTGATTTGATAAAAAAAGTTAATTTATTGTATTAAACTTCTCAATTGTAAAATGATCTTCATGATAGCGACAACTATGAAAATGTTCTTATTTTACAACGGGTCGAGATAATGTGTGGAATAACGTATAGACGGCACGCTATTATAAACTTAAACTAAAGCACACTGCACCTTCAGCAACTCATAACGAGGTTAATTTTAAACTACATCGTGTGGCTAGACTTACTTTACAGGTAAACACTTCAAAGATACGATCGCGTATATTATCTTAATTTAAAACTCCTGACTGCGAAGGAAAAGTTTTCGAAATAAGAATTGTTTTTAATTTTCAAAACTGTAAAATTAATCTCTTAATTGCAAATGTGTATAAAAGATCAATATAACTCAATAAATAATTTAAACTCGCCATAGTTCCATGTCCACTGCGCCATGTTTCGTTTGAAATAATATCCCTGACATTGATCGTGAAAAGTGGTTTGGCGTTGAACAATTTAGATTTCTTCGACATGCAAGTAACCTGAGTTCAGACAGTCTGAATTGATACAGTTTGACACCTTTGTACATTAGCAAAGAATACTATTTAACTGATAACCGGTAAAGTCACGCAGATTTTTATAAAAAGATTAAAAGTATATATCATGAAAGACACGCAAATGCAAATTAAAGATCTGACCTTAAGTAAAGACGAAAAAAATGAACGAAATAAATAAAGGCAAGAGAATGCCAAGACCCTTTGTTTCAATTTAATTGTGTTTATTATACTTAATTTAATGCTAATTATATGGCCAAGAGATGTTACACAATGGTATCTTTGAAACACCAGTGAGTGTCTCAGACGTTGCCAAGTTATGAATGTTTATATTGTCTCGCTGATGAATATGCAGAAGGAATTGTGTTCGAAATTACGTTTTTAAATTGTCAAATCGAAAAAATTATTGGAAATCTAATAAATAATTTGTTATAGTTTATTTTTATAGAATAAATGAAATTAACTTCGAACAGAAAGTTTCGTTATCCTCTTTTCCTCACTTCAATTCTTCTTTTGTTTTATCCATCAGTGTTCATATCTCAAGGTCAGACTCGCTTCTAGCATCATTAATTTTAATTTTCACGACCTTTGTGAAACATAATTTCGATCTGCATAATAAAAATCTGTGCGATTTCATTATCAGTAGAATGACACAACCTTGACAGAGTTATGGCACCTAAGTAAATTATAAAATTTGATTTTAGAATAAAAAATTGAATTACGACTGTTCTAGATATGTACGATTAAAACAAAACAAAAACAAATATATCAAACAAGATAGAGTGCAGTCACTGCTTTTAATAATTGACATATTCAACACCCATAAAAATGTATTAGAATAGAGTATTCGATAAAAACATTACAGAATCATCTGAACGAAGCTTATTAATGCTGTACGAAATGATTAAGCCAAAAATAATATCTGGGAGGTTCGCGCGTGGTCAGATAAAGAAATGTACAAATATGGTGCAAGCTGAAGATTTCGGAAACCCGTATATGGTTTCGTAACTGGTATCTGGGCCAAAGTCAAGGCGGAGATATGGATGACCAAGTTTGAAAGTTGAACCTTGAAATCAGTTTATAGCTCACTTTCGTTTATCTTCTTAAGGCTTGATGTCTCTGAACTTCAAATTAACCAAAAATTATTTAGAAAACATATAAAACATGACGTTATATTTATTAAGATGCGAATGTTTAGCAAGATGTTAAAAATTTAGTAAAATGTTCGAAAAAATAAATGAAAAGTAATGAAAGTTTAGTGAAAAGTTTAAATGTTTCAAATTTTTATATTACAAATAACATTGTTCGTATGAGTTATAGCTTTCAAGAGAATTGAGTTCTAATATTCGTACAAAAATAGTTTCGTTCAATTATGTTTTATCGCAGCCGATTACATCTGAGCTGATTTTTCTATATTGCGTTTTCGTTTTCGTTGAAATAGTATACTATTTTATTATTCCAGTCCAATAAATATTGTACACATTGACGCATCACAGTGTATAAAGATAAGTTAGGAAAATAGACCGTGCATTGTCATATCACTACTTTTAAGAATACGATTTCCTGTGAATTACGGAGAGATATAAATGACTCAAGGTACATATCAGATACTAACACGAATACCGAATTGGTAATAATAAAGGATTATTTTTGACTCGTGTTAGGACGCACCAGTTTGCAGGAAAGATAGCTTCCTAAAAATGAAATAAAACGTAGCAATTTCACTAAACTCATGGACATTAATTTCCTTATTTTCACTTCGTATTACTTTACAATAAATCGCATTGGTTAACACCAGTTTCTCCTTGGTCTCTTAATTTTTTAAACAAATTGAAAACATTTCGAGAAATTCGATTTAGACAATTTACTCAAAATTATAACATAAAAATTGACCATCTTTGACTGAAGATAACTCCAGAGAAAATGGTAGGATGATGACATTTTTTAAATTAAAGCTTGAAACCTCTACTTTAAGATAATGTCTCTTGATCTTAAATTCGATGCGCCCTCACCACTGTAAACCTTTAAATCTGAGGTCATGTTTGTCATATTACAAATTGCCAAGTTTGACAGAATGCACGGACTTTGAATAATTCTTTTTGGGGATGTCGCTTGCAGTGAGACGAAGTCTGATCCTTCTCTATTAATTAAAAAAAATTTCAGAATCAGAAAATTGTAAACTGAACAAATGACTATACGATTAATATAAAGTCATGGTAGAGACGTTCGCGATAAACAGTAACGTTGTATACGTGCTCGATCATTGTTCTATTCTAAACGAGGTGTTTTATTTTCGAGAAGATTTAATATTTAGTCAACGTACAGTTTGCTAATTTTAAAGAGAAGAAACCACAAATTGCATTTAAATTTTACAGCGATAGCATCAACAATGTCTTTGTTTATTGGTTAACGATTGAACACGTCAACGTCGACTAAACCAGTTACGAAACTGCAAAAACCACACGAGGTGAACTATATCTCGCAACGTAATGTATACATAACTATCAGATATTAAAGTAGACGCCGCTGAATCAGTCGATTGTTCGTCATCCGTTCCGTCGCAGTCTAATGAACGTTCAACTAGCGCCGAGCCGGAAGGTTCAACGTTACAAGTTCAATTTGTGACGCAGCTCAAGGACAGGGAATTTCCTATCTACTAAGTGGACGGAAAGTCAGGGAATCGCGTGCAAAACTATGGGTACACTTTAAAAAAATTCGTGGCAGTGCGTCAGGTGTCGGTTCGCCAGACAGACGTGGCAGAGTGCTCCGGATCGAGAGGATCCTTATTATCGTTTCGAATTAGCCGACGTTGTAGGAAGAACACTACTTGCCTATTTCCTTATTTTGTTGCGGGAAACCCAGCGAATTTGCTTCACCTCCATGCGCAACTGCAGCGCTATAAAAGACTCTAACGCAGCGGGACATTTCAGAATCCTGGATACGCTGAGATCGTAGTTAAGTCAAAATGACCAACTTTTCCTCTTACGGATGGAAACCAGAAGTGGTTGAACCTGAATTCGTGCGACAGGCAGCGAAGAAAGAGCAAGTGAGTATTGATGTTCTTCTGTGCTACCACGACTTTTGACCATAAAAGGCGTTCCGGTGTCTTTGTGTCCCTCGTGATCAGAACAAGATCAACGTTCCGGTGTTACATGGATTATGTAATAACGTTGATCGGAACTTGGGACACTATAACATTACTGAAATTTGAAACGCCGCGCCCGAATTAAATCGTGTTACATCTCACAGATGGGGTGCGCGTATTCTGTTATGCCGCGTGCACACCGACCGGAGAAGGACAATCGTGTTCCGGACAAAACCCCTGATAGAATAATTTCATTTTTCATTTATTCGAAAAATAAGTTTCAATAATGGAAAGTAACCGTATCCTGAATATGCACTGTAAAACCTCCCATTTCTCGGCATCTTACGATGATAGCGACTTCAAAAAGCAAATTTAAATTTCCGAGAGCATTCATTTAACACGCTGAGTACAACTGTACACCTAAGTAAAATGGTTTCGACCTATATTGTTCATACAATTGTATACTTTGATATTCTTTATCAGTATAAATGTTCTGATCATGCACGACTGTTTGTAACGTTCACAGGCCATAAAATGCATTTATTTGCTACGTAAATATTAGTATTTTTCTACGCGATTTATTTATACACAACATCGCTATCTACAATGTAACATATAGTTGACAGAAGTGACCGGATTATCTATTACGAGATAACTTGTGTAGTAACTCTTTTACATGTTTCACCGCGATTTATATGTAACTGTATCCATAATTTGTCGAATCCAACTTTAAAAACTCGCGCTACATCACGTGCTTTATTATAGACTGAGAAGTTAGGAACACATTACGCTAGCGTGAAGCCGAGGAAACTCGAGTTCGGCCGAAGGCCGAGCGTAAACACATACTTGCACATGCTCGTTCATGCCGGCGGTTGCGAGCACGACAATACATGTGTCTCGAAACGACGGAATTATGTTAACTTATCATGCAATCGATCATGCCGCGGTTTCTAGAAACATGTAACATTCGCTCCAGAAAAATCGAAGAGAGAAAAAAGATCGCAGAACAATGGCGTGCGTTTAGTCAGACCGCGCGCAACGTGACATGAGTGAGGGTAATGGGAGAATGAGCTCAGCTCGTGGCTCCAGACTTGTCAATGTAACGGTTCTATATCCGTGGTGTTGAATCGCGTGGAGAATCGAATCCGAGTGTCGCTCGAATTTTGTCGGGTACGCTACCCTAGCCTAAATCGAATTGGTCTAATCGCGTGGATATTTTCGACCCCGGAACGTGGTGATCTGTGGTGATCGCGATCGAGCTGGTCAAGGCGTAATTCACGTGGAAGATGAGTTACTACGGCGATGGGAGCTCGGCTCCGCTCGATGACATCTTCGTTAAGGCGGCCGTTGAAGTCAAACGGTTCCTCCCGTCGCTTTTCAACATCAAAGTGGTACGCGTCCTTAACACGATCATCGCTAGCTCAAGCTAATTTTACTTGCCTCCTCATTTCCGTTGCGCGCTAAGTCGCAGTTTGGGTATTAGTCAATGGACGAAAAAACAGCGAGCTCGCAACATCATTCACACGAGGACCAATATTTATTATGCGGCGAGCCTGAAAGCATCTCGCAACCAGACCCATGTCTCGAACACAATGTGTTGTTAGGCGCACTTGTTTTTCAAGTGACAGTAGCAGAAACTAAATTTAACCCTTTGTAACTCACTGGTATACAATATGGTACAACAGTAAGATCGAGAGAATATTATTGGTATGATAATTGAGATTACCTTTTATCACAGATTTTATGAAGGCCGAAAATAATCAATTATATTTTCTTAACTCCCAATTGATAATATTCAATGAAAGATTATGGTTGTTTTTATCTCAGAAATTATCCACTACAGAGAGCTAAGTTAAGATACGTGTGACAGTTTTCAACTGAACGTGGAAACACCGGCTTTCTGATTTTGATATGGATTGTCTGAAGTTGTGAAGGAGATAATAACAGTCTTACCTAGAGGATATATGTAAAGGAAAACTAATGGAAATCGCATTTCAGTTGTAGCTTCCCGCGTGTCAGACCAGTTTCGAGATATTTCCGTTTAAATGTCTTCGAGGAAATATCCGTGAAAAACGATCCCCTGCAGGTGTCTAAATAAACTTTACGAGTTCACTGCATCTTCTCCACCCACTGCATATTTATTATTGCTAGACACCGGTAACCGACGTGGCATTTAACATGTGAAATCCATGTAAATGGGGTTTCTGCTACTCTTACTATACGCGGATAAATCGTGAGCGGCAAGACTCATTGGATCGTTTCGCCGATGACGCAGTTTTAATAGTTGTAACATTGGTCAGATTACTGGTTTTTGTAGAAAAACTTGTTTTCGACAGCTTTTGTCGAATATGGACTATCTGAATAGCCTCTAAAATCGCTTATCGCAATATTTCGAAACTCCTCGAAGATATGCGACGATGCTTGGTTTGAAGCAACACAAGAACCGATCGATGGCTATTAATATCGACTCATGTCATAAAATAGTTAAAATAGTTAATCTATGGAAAATAATGCATTATAAAGAATTAATCAAATTCTTTCGAATTATACAAAAGTATATTGAATGTGAGGATATATTCTAAAATTATTATGAAATACATTTTGTTCATAAAAGGAAATCAAATTATGGTAATATCAGTTAATTTAATTAAAATATTAAGCAATATTAAGTTTGCTAGGCGGAAATTTGATTAATAATTGAGAATAGTATTTTTTTTATAGCATCATTTACGTAATTACTATGTCGTGTACATCGAGAACTTTACACATATTGTTAATTTCTTAAATAAAAATAAAATAAAACTCAAATCATATAAATAACGAAGT